TTCTCAGGACATACATATTAAGGATCAAAAGATTCAGGATGACTGTGATTGCGGTGCAGTTGCATTTTGACCCTTGCCATGTTAATTTCTCGTGGGATCCTAAGTAGATGATTATAAAACAGAGGGTGAGGGAGAGAGGGAGAGAGGGAGAGAGAGAGGGAGGGAGAGAGAGGGGAGAGAGAGAGAGAGAGAGGGAGAGAGAGGGGAGAGAGAGAGAGAGAGGGGGAGAGAGAGGGAGAGAGAGGGGAGAGAGGGAGAGAGGGGAGAGAGAGAGAGAGGGGGAGAGAGAGAGAGGGGAGGGAGAGAGAGAGAGGGAGGGAGAGAGAGAGGGAGAGAGAGAGACGGGGAGAGAGAGAGAGAGAGGGATGGAGGGAGAGAGAGAGGGAGAGAGAGAGGAGAGAGAGGGGAGAGAGAGAGAGGGGGAGAGGGAGGGGGAGAGAGAGAGAGGGAGGGAGAGAGAGGGGAGAGAGAGAGAGGGGGGGAGAGAGAGAGTGAGAGAGAGAGGGAGAGAGAGAGGGGAGAGAGAGATGGAAAGAGGGAGAGAGAGAGGGGGAGAGAGGGAGAGAGAGAGAGGGAGAGAGAGGGGAGAGAGAGAGGGAGAGAGAGAGAGGGAGAGAGAGAGGAGAGAGAGAGAGGGAAAGAGAGGGAGAGAGAGAGGGAGAGAGAGAGAGGGGAGAGAGAGAGAGGGAGAGAGAGGGAGAGAGGGAATAACATATGGTTCGATTATATTTGAATAATCCGCTTGCGCGTAGATGTCTTTAGCAGTGGCAGGAAATCGGAGGACTCGGAGAAAACCCACGAGGGTTGGACATTATAAGGGATAAGTACTAGTAAAAGACATCAATATCATTCCAACACTTTAGAATATCAAATGAAGAGACCCGGGGAAGAACGATCTAAGTCACTTTTTCAACGAACCCCAGTTAATGGCGCCATCTGGTAGCAAATTGTATAAGCTCTCTGTGGAACAATCAATTTCAGGTAAAAACGATCGGAGTCACATCGAACCAAGGTCCTTCTGAAATGGCATCCTGGACAAACACAAGTCCATCGTACCCTTTATTTGACCTTAATGTGGCTGAAAAGTGGAAGTCAGTTGTTTTACTGGTAATTATGATTCGTATTAAACATCATTTTGAAGTTGTAATTAAACCCACTCGTTGTTCTGTTCGCGTCAAGCATTCTCGTCCGAAATTCTATTTTGCCTTTTATGCGAAAAGACAAAAATTTTACTTAGATTGTTCTTTCCCTGAGCTCTTCAAATTCTCTCTAAAGTTACGAGAAGATCAGCATAATCGATAAGACCTCTATTAGACATAATTCGAAACAACACCAGTTAATGTGACAAGGAGTAGGGTTTCCTGTCGAACCTCGTAAGTTTTCTCCGGGTGCTCCACTTCACGCCCTCTGCTAAAGACCCCTTCGAATTATTGAAATAAAATTGAACCATAGTTTATGTCAAGTGGACGTCAATGTGATTAAAATACAGATTTATTTTCGTTCCGTGCACCTCACGCGAAAAACTTGCCGTAACAGACAGTTTCATTGGCTAATCCCTCACGGATATAGTTTTTGGTTGGCCACCCCCCCCCCCCCCAAAAAAAAAGAACACAGACACAAGATAAATAACAATATTTTATATATAGTTAATTTAATACTTACAATTGCAATTCAATAAACAATAAATTACTATAATTAAAGACTCAATACCACTCTTGTTGTAACTGAATAATATGTCCCAATCTTTATTCTGGTCAACAAATTGTACTATTTTAGAATATTTCAATTAATTGATGATACAAATTTTATCTTAACACACCTTATTTAAAAATTTTGAAAAATTCAACATAATGGTTTGAAACGTCTAACGTAAACCTTTTCAAATGAAACTTCGATTTAAAATATATTCGAACCCTCTGGACAAGTAAAATAGGATGTAATAGATAATTTACACAACAGGTAGGGCACTTAAACATCTAGTGCTTAGATAGAGATATTATTTATTTTCTAGAGCTTTCAAGCCAGCAAGAGTGTTATTGTCCCTTTAAAGTATGTCTGATTTAATATCAACATCTATGTGTCATTCAAAAAGACTAAATAAAGTTACACAGACGTCACAGGGTTGTGTTTAATGTCACGTGTGATATCACATGCTGGTATATATTTTGATTCAGCGTCAGGATATCTATTTGACACGCACCATTATATTTTGTTTGAAGAAAGGTATTTTTTACAGTTGCAAAATAAACTGTGTTCGTTTTTTGTTAAATGCAAGATGATGCTGATTTCATATGGCATACAAATACAAAACACACCGATATGAAAATTATGTATTATATAATATATTTAGGCCTATCTTTAAAGTGGCCGAAGTAATATATTTAGGCCTATAATTAAAGTGGCCGAAGTAATATATTTAGGCCTATCTTTAAAGTGGCCAAAGTAATATATTATGGCCTATATTTTAAAGTGTCTGAAGTAACATATTTAGGTCTATCTATAAAGTAGATATGGCAACATAGCTATAGCGTAGCTGAACATACTTAAAACTTAGGCTGGCTGTCTACAGTTAGCTCCGCTTCAGAACAGACACTAAGCTAGTTTACCGACATTTTAAATCCAAAATCGACGATTTTAGTTGAAAACACTAAGTATACTTTGAGAAAGTTGTTGAGTATTTGTTCTACTTCCATTTAATAAAATTAAAAAAGTTTATTTCATCTTTGTGTGTATGACAGATGTGAAACGGAGTAGAAACGCATTACAAAACTGTATACTAATTTTTGGGATATGGCGGCCATTTAGGGCAGAGATCTATTTTTGAGGAATGAAGTAGGTGCATCTATGTGTGCCAAATGGTATCTGACGTAATATAGCTTTATATTAGCTCTTACATAATGCATCTCACAGTCTATTCATGATTTCTCTAGCTTTACAATGGGACTCAAATTAATTTGGGTCGTGCTTTGGTGTGACGGGGCCTTCATTGATTTACCCGGAAGTAGACCTCATTACACGAGCAATGGGGGAATGATCGCTCGCTCTCTCTCTGTCGTTAAATATTCTACTTGCACGAGTTGTGGGAAATAACAACTTGTCGCCATGTATGCGAAATAATCACAAGTCGTGCTGCACGGGAAATAGCCACTCTTAGCAATATACAGGACATAACTACTTGTCGTGAGGCACGGTGTCCAGGATAAACAAAAACACATTACAGCAATCATAAAGGAATGTTGAATGAATACAAATTATATTTTTAAAAACATAGGTCAGTCTTAAAGTAGCTTAGTCTCTAACTCAATATCATCCAAAGTCTTACACGTTGAAAATACGAATTATTTGTCAATTCAAATCAACATTAACGTTGTGATCTTACCAGAAAAAGGCAGGCTTCTGATATCCAATATTTAAGACAAAATAAACATTTTACCATTGGTACACGAATCGTGTACCATAGTGCGTTTTAGCGTCATTTGCAACAAGTGACCAGAAAGAACGAGGCTAGACATATTCAACTAGAGAACCTGCTTAATAGACTGGAATGACCAGACGCTAGAAATTGCTATAGGGTTGAGACACATGCTGTATTTCGCTGACATAACTGATTTGAAATTAGAGTCAAAAAGGAAACAATTGAATGTAAATCAGTTTATATACAATCAGATTACATTATTATATGCGTTGCGGCCCATTTGGGTCAATTTCTAGGTCCCAAATATTAGCGATTTAGCTCCTTTAATCTTTTTTTGTGTTTTGAGGAAGGTACTCGGCATTCTCATTGAAAGGGGAAACAACTCAAATGTTGACATTTGACCAGATCTGATTAAAATAAAGATCTATATTTCGTTTCGTTTTCTTTATACTTTTAATGGCCTCTATTACACGAAGGTCTGACCGGATTTAATTAGTGGAGGGTTGCGTCATGGATCATACGAGCGACTTTTGATTAACCAATCAGCGCAAATGTTTCTAATGTGATACCAATAATTCGGTACACGTTTCACCAAGAACTCGCCGCAACAGACTGTTTCATTGGCTAATCCTCCAGATTCTAATGTAGTATTGACAAGTTGAACGACATTTTGAACTATAAAAAAACGAAACGAAATAGGATATGTGTTTTAATCTGATTGCATTTTACCATGTCCTCGTGCTGAATATCTTACTAAAGTGCATTGCAATTTGTATAGAAATGACCACAAATCACCGGGGTTGGCCGAAATAAAATGGGGTTTAACGTCCTACTGTTCTGCTCCGACGGGCATACTGGCGCCATACAGTGTGCTAAGAGGGAAATTTTGCCCGGATAGCGGCGCTACGGCTTACTCTTATATTGAATTCAAATGACAAGGGACATTTTACAAGCACGCTAATGTGTACACTGGACCTCAGTTTGTCGTCTTATACGAAGGACTAGACAGCGCAGTTGTCAGTCCCCCGTCCTGCATCACTGACAAGGGTATACCACGCTCGAAAATCACGACGAACTTCGGGATCAACCCCGCAACCTACAGATAAGCGGGCCAGCGTCTTACTCACTTAGCCCCCATGGCTCCCCCACTTAGCCACAGCATCTCCATTGGTAGAGAGAGAGAAATTGGGTTTAACGTCCACTCGACACAAACTAGGTCATTTCGGGACTAACATATGGTTAATTTTATTTCATTAATTCGCTTGCGCGTAGGGGTCTTTAGCAGTGGGAGGAAACCAGAGGACCCGGAGAAAACCCACGAGGTTGGACAGGCGACGCCAGTTGACTCAATGACAGACCGTATGATACAGCACACACGTGCTAACCATTCGGCCACCCACCCCCCGCCATTGGTAGAGTGAATGCTTTAACGCTAGCATAAACGATCATAAGGTCTGTCATTGAATCAAGTGTTATGGTATCGATTGTCCGGTTGTACGTGACAACGAGTAAGGTCGCCAATCCAACCTCGCGGGTTTTCTCTGGGTCCTCCGGTTTCCTCCCACTGCTAAAAAAAACCCTACGGGCAAGCGAATTATTGAAATAAAATTGAACCATATGTTAGTCCCGAAATGACCTAGTTTGTGTCGAGTTGACGTTAACTTCATTTCTTTCTCTTTCGTTTGTACACGTAGGTGGCAAGGAGTATGGTCGCCCGTCCAACCACTTGAGGTTTTCTCATACGCGCAAGCAAAGTATTGAAATAAAACTGAATCATAGGTTAGTCTCGAAATAACCTAGTTTGTGTTGATTAGACGTTAAACCCCATTTCTCCCACCCTCACTACATATTGAATCAAGTTCTGTCAACGATGGTGTAATATGAATATCCTGGGGCCTCCACCAATCCTTGTTTTGTTACATAATCATAGAGATGACACGTGCCTGTCTGCAATTCAAATACAAACGACCTGCACAAACTGAAAGTAGAACATAGACCACCACAGCGTTTCTTGTTACCCTCAACAGTCGAGTATATAACACCGTCATTTGGCTTTTTGTTGGTTGCTGACTTTCTGAAATATACTCCCGTTTCCACAGATCTTGCTGGACACGGTGGAGCTGAAATCATAATAAGATAACAGTTAAATACATGATATAGTCTCAGCTTTTGCTAGACACGGTGGAGCTGAAATCATAACAAGATAACAGTTGAATACATGAAATAGACTCCCTTTCTACACGCTGGGGCTGAAATCATAACAAGATAAAAGTTAAATACATGAAAAAGACTCCCTTTCCACTGATTTTGTTGGGCACGGTGGAGCTGAAATCATTATAAGATTTCAATTGAAGAACACATGAAATAAACTCCCTTTCCACTGATTGTGTTGGACACGGTGAAGTTGAAATAATTATAAGAAATCTGACCTAAAGATAAAATCAAATTTTTAGTAGATACTTCTATCTTAGTTAAAATTTCGTGAAACAGACCCCTGATATAATATAATTGATATGTGAACTAAATCGATGTAGAAGATTATTTAATACAAACAATAGACATGGGGTATTATCTGTAAATATTATTCATAATTGTTATTCTGCAATCATGTAAATATTCAAACAGGTTATAATCATCGGAAGCTGCCATCCTCGAGGATACCTAGCACTTCACTCATCTATAGCTGTCTGTAAATCGTATTGATAACTGTTACTCTGTAATCATGTAACGTTCTCTAATAACAACTTTTGTATTGTTATTGCCACCTTAACTACAATACCCACAATCGATAATACAAATTCCTCTAGACAGTTACCATAATAAATGAAATGAAATGAAATGGGGTTTAACGCCCTACTGTTCTGCTCCTATGATGGGCTAATGAAGACGGGCATACGCCATACAGTGTGCTATGAGGGAAATTTTGCCCGGGCAGCGGCACTATGGCCTACTCTTATATCGAATTCCAACTGCCAAGGGATCTTTTACGTGTATTCCAATGTATACACGGGACCTCGGTTTTTCGTCTCATCCGAAGGACTAGACAGCTGTCCTTGTCAGACCCTCCGTCCTGCATCACTGACAAGGGGGATTACCATAATAAATACAAAGCATTGATCATCCTTTTATAAAACAACAATGAGACCTAGACCGGAGGCTCAGTGGTGCGCGGGGGTCTCCATCAAATGGGCACAAAACCAGACACAACTTTTCTACAGTAAAATTTGGCGTAGATTACGATGCCTAGTGGTAATCAGTCCACCGTTGGGGCGATTTCGAGATATTCGGGGTCATGTGAAAATTGCACAAGACTTCTGTTTATGAATCATGTACCCACCCCAGACCTCTCTACATTCTGAAAGCTCCTCAGATTTGGCCCACTATATTTTCCTTTCTAAATTTCTTCAAAACGTTTTTGTCTTTGGCAAAATTCTTCGGGAAATAAAACAATCTATGAGGGTAAGTAGTGGCGCGAAAACCAAGAGTGACGCAAATAATCAAATGGCGCATGAATATCTGTACTCGCAAACTCACTATCACCACGCTCCGCCCCCCCCCTCCAAAAGGAAATGACAAACACGAACATTTACCATACATTATGCAAAAACTAAATCTGCCTATTGCAGGTCTTTCTTTAGACCTGAAATGTTATCTAAATTATTAATTAGACATTAAAGATACATTCCCGCGTACAAAATGGGTGATTTGATGATATATTTGGACTAAAAACATATTCAAACTAATTAATTTATCATAGTTTTGCTTCAATCCTTCTCAAAACATTGCAATTGTCGGGGATTACTCCTGCTATAAACAGGTCATGTTTGTGTCACGTGACTTACCTCTCTCGGTACCTAGCAACGGGTGCGAAGTCGGAGGAGAATTCATTGCATACGCAAGACGATGTTGACTTTATTCGCTGACTATTTATTACAAATATCAAAGCCTAATTAAATTCTTGAATTATCCACTGCACCGCGTTTTTCTGTGATTTTTATCTCAGAAAGTGTTGTACGCCTAACTCTTCATAATGTTTATCAACATGTACATCAAGCGCCCATGCAATCTCCGCGTGCAAACCTTTGACGTCACGCGAGCAGAAATTCCTAATCGTCGGGCTGCCGATAGGGAAACCCTTATATTTTTGTCCTGTATGCGCTCACTGAGTGTTTTTCAGGAAATCCAGCACTTTTCTAGTAAATTGGATATTTTTACTTTCCATACTAGCCTGCGATATTTACTGGATAAGATCAGATTTGCTGCGCAACTTTCATTTATTCATAAAATTGATAATTGAGACTATGTTTGTTATCATACCGACTTTAGTAATGATGATCGAGGCTAGGCCGAAATTTCAATCGATCAATAGTCGGTTCAGAGTGGATCAATTTGACTGAAATGTTCAGCAAATTCTCCTTTAAAATATCTAGTTTTTAACTACTGATGTCCAAAAGAAAGTATACACACTAAAAGTATGACTAAGTTTTGTTTAGATTAAAAACATTTGATAAAGCATTATCGAGTTTGTCTCTTGCGTCCAAACTCAACATTTCTATAAGCAAAATAAAAATGTGAAACAGATTGACATTCTACCCAAATACCGTATACCATGGAAAAACGACTTTGGTTGATGCAGCACAAAATGCACAGTGTATACTTTCTTTTGGACATTAGTATATTAGAGTGAAAACTGCCAGCCCTTTATCTAATCTCCCATAATGTATCTTTAATATATTGAGTGGAAAAAGTTCGTTCAGATGGAGAAATGAAATGAAATGGGGTTTAACGTTCTACTGTTCTGCTCATATACTGGGCTAATGAAGACGGGCATACGCCATACAGTGTGCTATGAGGGAAATTTTGTCCGGGCAGCGGCACTATCGCCTACTCTTATATCGAATTCCAACTGCCAAGGGATCTTTTACGTGCATTCCAATGTTTACACGGGACCTCGGTTTTTCGTTTCATCCGAAGGACTAGACAGCTGTCCTTGTCAGACCCTGCGTCCTGCATCACTGACAAGGGGAAACCACGTCGGAAAATCTGGATGAACTTTCTCGGCCAATGCAGGGATCGAACACCCGACCTCCAGGCTAGCGAGCCAGCGCCTTACCCACCTAGCCACCGTGACCCCGTCGTTCAGATGGAGCGTACTGAGTGTACTAACTGGTAACAAGTGTATGTGCCATGTTTAAAATAATAAACATGCTCTTAATGTTAGGGGGGTTGGATGGCTGAATGGTTAGCGTGCGCGCGCTGCATCATAAAGTCTGTCATTGAGTCAACTGGCGTGGTTTCGAATCCCCGGTTGTACGTGACAAGGAGTAGGGTCGCCTGTCCAACCTCGTGGGTTTTCTCCGGATCCTCCGGTTTCCTCCCACTGCTAAAGACCCCTACGCACAAGCGAATTATTGAAATAAAATTAAAACCATATGTTAGTCCCGAAATGACCTAGTTTGTGTCGAGTGGACGTTAAACCCCATTTCTCTCTCCCTCTCTCTTAATGTTGACGGATGTGGATTGCTTGTTTAATGTCCCCAGTATACTAGACAGGTACATTGTGATCAATATTTCTTTAGAATAAAAAGATAATATTTATCAAACTTGAATCTGTTGATCTTTCCTCGTCGATATTTGACTTTCTCGTCACTATTGTTGTTATTATCAGGAATCAGGTATCTTAAAGATGCATGATGTAATAGGTATACATGGGTATAACAGGTGTAAAGATGCATTATGTAAGAGGTATACCTGGGTGTTACAAGTGTAAAGATGCATGATGTAATAGGTATACATGGGTATAACAGGTCTAAAGAAGCATTATGTTAGATGTATACCTGGGTGTTACAAGTGTAAAGATGCATGATGTAATAGGTATACATGGGTATAACAGGTGTAAAGATGCATTATGTAAGAGGTATACCTGGGTGTTACAAGTGTAAAGATGCATGGTGTAATAGATATACATGGGTATAACAGGTGTAAAGATGCATTATGTAAGAGGTATACCTGGGTGTTACAGGTGTAAAGAAGCATGATGTAATAGGTATACATGGGTATTACAGGTTTTTATTTTGGCTTCAAATGTTATATACATTATTATTCATAGATTTATACACATGACAGGCCTATACTCAACAGTCAGTGATGCAGGACGGGGGGCTTGACAAGGACTGCGGTCCAAGTTTTTCGGATGTGCCGACAAATCGAGGGCCCGTGTACAAATCGGCGTGCACGTAAAAGATCCCTTGTTAGTTGGAATTCGATATTAGCGTAGGCAGTAGTGCCGCTGTCCGGGCGAGCAAAATTTCCTCTACTGCACATTGTATGGGGTATGCCTGTCTTCATTAGCCCAGTTCGAAGCAGAACAGTAGGACGTTAAACCCCATTTCTTTTCATTTCATATAATCAACTCTCTAGGACATCGCGTGACGCAGATATATACGGATTAAAATATGATCGCTATTAAATGACCGAGTCTCGATTAACAAGTACCGTTGCTACGATAATAAACCATCTATGTCAAAATTTCAAACAATGATAACCTCGCTGATCAGAATAGAGTAATTTGAATGAAATGTTCAATATATTCATTTTTCATTATCTGTGTTTAAACTATTATAACGAGAACTGTCAGCGCTGTATCTACATCTTACATAATGCATCTTTAATGACCATGCATAATGCATCCTTAATGTCCTTTGGGATATCATTCCTTCATAACTGTAAGGCTCATCAGTCATTCACCAGACAACGTATGACCTCTGTATTCCTTACTATTGTATATGTGGCCATTCTACATGGTTTGTTTTGTATAACAACATAAAATCACCACGTAGAGCGATTGTTTTATTCTTTTAAATACAAGAACAATCTTAACAGTTCAAACAGTTTATCAAGACAATAGATTGAATACTGCGTCGGATATACGCTCGTAACTCTAGGGGCTATTAAGTAGCACTTTGGTCCTTAAGACAATATTGGGTCTTTGAAACATTGTTGCTTCACTCTTTCTATAGAGTCTGATCACACGTACTTAATGAACGTGAATGACATATTTATATATATAAAAAAAACAGTGACATTTTGGTAAAATTCTAACCATTGTTGAAATATTCATCAAATTCTATCTGTTTATTGACCTATGGTTGGTATATATTACGATCACGAAGAAAACACAACAAGAAAAGAAGTCCGATAGTACTACAAATATTCTGTTTCAACACATTTTACTTTAATTAGATATAACAGATAATACCGAGTCTTTAGCATAAAATAAATATATATTACAAGTCAAATTAATTATATAAGATTGGAATCGTGAACGAAAACATTAATGTACTCCTGTATATTTAGGATAGCTGTGTGTCCAATGTATCGAAACTGGTCATGATAACGTCACTTGATTTTAAAACCATGTTACTGTCGGTTTGACTGTTTATGAACCATAATTTATGGTTCATTGGTTTGAAAGACATGTTTAAAAAGTTAACAAAAATTACAAAAAAAAAAAAAAAATAAAAACCCGAAAAGAACCAATGAATTGTTAACTTGCAAGAACAGGAAATTCAGAAGATATCGATTTTTGTAAACATAACGAAGAATGTGTCGTCTATTATTGACAATCAATTAGACGATATAAGTTGATTTTAATGACGTTATCATGTTTATTCCCCCCCCCCTCCCCCATGTTTCTATCTATTTAAAAATAAAAAATGATTAAATTGATTTAATATTGAGGATCATGGGTGGAGTGTACTTTTGTTTAGATACAGTCGTACTTGATCTTATTTCAGATGAAGTCGTGTATCTTAATTAGCTTACTGTAACTACAGGTGCATCTTAATTAGCTTACTGTATCTACGGGTGTATCCTAATTAGCTTACTGTATCTACAGATGTACCTTAATTAGCTTACTGTATCTACAGGTATAACTTATTTAGCTTACTGTATCTACAGGTGTAACTTATTTAGCTTACTGTAACTACAGGTGTACCTTAAGTAGCTTACTGTAACTACAGGTGTACCTAAAGTAGCTTACTGTAACTACAGGTGTACCTGACCGTAACTACAGGTGTACCAGGCCGTAACTACAGGTGTACCTTAATTAGCCTACTTTAACTACAGATGTATCTTAATTAGCTTACTGTAACTACAGGTGTACCTGACCGTAACTACCTGGTATATAGTAATGATATTTACACCCATTAATTAGCCTATAGTGAGGAGCGGATTTTCAATATCTTTAATACTCTGATTAAGGACAATTCAGCAATGTTCAATATATAGCCTAGTCATCCATGTTTTGTTGGTGTTGTTAATACACGAGTTAATTGCATGTGAATGACTGTCACTTCCGACATCTGAATACTACGGTACTCTGTGAAATCCTTCATCATTTTCATGTCCGATTTATTTCCTTATTACATCAACCAAAAATTTTTAGAGTAATCCATATTGCGAATTACGACATAAATCAGCGGTCCCCTCACATGATTTGCATTGAATTAACATTGGATAATCCGACCTTCGGTCAGGGAGAAGGGTTTAATAAAGGCTATGCCTGTTCCCCAATCCCTATTCAGATAAAATATTGCTTATAAAAAACCCGGTTTCCTCCCACTGCTAAAGACCCCTACGCGCAAACGAATTATTGAAATAAAATTAAAACCATATGTTGGTCCCGAAATGACCTAGCTTGTGTCCAGTGGACGTTAAACCCTATTTCTCTCTCTCTTATAAAAAACAAAACAAAATTACCGGTGAGCTTAAAACACGCGTCGGTCTTTGTTGATTACCCGGATTTTTTAATCTCTTGGAGACAGAAGTTTTTCTGTTGCTGCTCCTAAACTGTGAAACAGGCTGCCATCATATATAAAGGATGCACAATCACTGTGTACATTCAGATGATGGGAAACTGTCGTAAATGTGACGGACTAACTCAGTGCCAGTGAGCAAACTTTTTGGATACGAGGCGCTATACAAATCCATTATTATTATAAGAGAGTGCTTGGTATTTCATTTGGGGTTTCCACGTCAAATACAGCGACAATATATACCCTTCAAAAAAAGTAGGGGATATTCAGAAACAATACAAAACTGCGGAAATTCACTGAAGTTTTATTAGAGGTAACCAGTGTATGTTAATAACAGGCCAAATGGACGTTTTTGATTTTTGTCTTAATAATGAGTAATTGCTCCACCAATCCTCAGACATTCAGCAATTCGTCGTGGCATGCTCCTAATCAACCGTCCAATCACGATTTCGGGCAATCTGGCCCACTCCTCTGGCAGTGCCACGGCCAATTCTTGCAGTGTTGTCGGTTGACGTTGAAGTTGACCAACACGTCTCCCGATAAAATTAAACGTAACATACTAAAGCAAAGATACGCTAAACAGTAAATCTTATGCAAGAACCGATAGGAAATTTAAGCAAACATGGATAGATAAACAAGCAAGCGGCAGTTTTCATCAACCCTTCCTTTAAGTGTCAAATTTGACAACGACTCCCCCCCCCCACGTGTATGGCGCTATTGCGTGTCGCACATGCAGCTTAGTGGTTATGTTGGGGCGATAAGTTCTTCATCTGTGAACATACTCTCAAAGCATGTCAAGTGTCCATGACTATTTATCATATCACAACCTGCATAGGTATTTGCATTTCAATATCCCCCACTTTTATTGAAGAGTATATATAAATTGCCTAAACGAAGAATCACTATCATTATAATTAATGTGTTCCTAATGTATGATCGTCCATCAAAGCGTGCCCGAACGGATTGGAATGGATGTCAAGCTGCAACTTATAGCAGATTTTTAAAATGTTCCACGACCTACACAGAAGGAATTGGCCGTTAAGTATTCAATAGATGGTTCGGTGTTAAAATCCGCTAACCAAATATAAGAAACCATATTATAATAGACAGGCACTATCGTACCGATACCCCTATATCTTATTTGTCACTCCAATTGGGGGGTTGGGTAGCTGAGTGGTTAGCACGTGCGCGCTGTATCATACGGTCCCGTCATTGAGTCAACTGGCGTGGTGTCGATTCCCCGGTTGTATGTGACAAAGAGTAGGGTCGCCTGTCCAACTTCGTGGGTTTTCTCCGGGTTTTCCGGTTTCCTCCCACTGCTAAAGACCCCTACGCGCAAGCGAATTATTGAAATAAAATTGAACCATGTGTTAGTCCAAAAATAACCTAGTTTGTGTCGAGTGGACGTTAAACCCCATTTCTCTCTCTCTCTCTCCCTCTCTCTCTTTCACTCTCTCGAATCATATTCGTGCACTTGATGCTCGGGGCTTCAGGAACTAACTTGTCACTCTTAGTTATCCACTAGCCACAGTATCATTTTTGGGACCGCGCCATTTTATTCCCGCATAGTAATTTGACTGGATAATGTTTATTGATGATGAACAACTTCTAAAACCATTTTTGGCAGGAAATAGTGGATACTTTGGAATCTAGGACAATTTTTGTGGCAATTGGCATAACTTACGCCCCACCCCCCTAGTACTCTGAATCATTTAAGAAGCAGTTTCACTTTAACTTACTTATTTAATTTAACGTATTTAATTGTGATAAAGTGCCATTAGTCACAAAATCCTGCCCCCCCCCCTTCACAGACTGGGCCTACGAGCAAAGAATATCTCGGCTGTAGGCCATAGCAGCGCTGGCCGGGCAACACTGTACCCATTGCGCTGTGTATTTCGCATGCATGTCTCCGTTAGCCCAGTCGGTGCAAAAAAGTAGGACGTTGATCCCCAATTCATTTCATTTCATTCATAGACTTAAAATTGTCATTTAAGCGATAATTTGATCATGTATCTAAGGAGATAATATAATCCTACATACCTGGAGCAGAGTATGCTGTTACAGTTGTAGCTTGACAAACCCCTGCTAAATCTGGTGAATCAACAACATCGTCAAATATCGTTAAACATCGTAAATAACCACGGAACGAATCTTCCTTCCATGTATCTGTACCAATATATATCTCAGATGGTTGACTTGTATCACCAGTTGCACAGTTATCGTTCGTAGAGGAAGTGACGTCATTTATATTCAGCTGTAGAGTTCCGGTTGCTGTATTTCTGGTTACTATCAAAGTATTCCACTGCCTTATTTCCAAGTTGGTACCCAGAACCTCACCACATATTGCTCCGTCTATATTAGATGTTGTTACGGTCACATTGTTCCAATTTGTTTGTATCTTAAGCCTTGATGTTCCAGACACTTGGTTATCGTTTACATAAAGAACCGTTCCACTATCTCTTTCGTCCAGACACAAAAACAGTCCAATTGTAAAGTTTCTTTGTAAAAATGTTTGATTTAAATTTGTTCTGATGTAAGAAATTGAAGCCCCGTCAAAATAAAGACTTGGAAAGGGGAACACTGAATTATTCCTTTGAATTCTAGGGCAGAGTGATAGTGCAGAAGAGTATGGAGGTTGCTGTGATATAACTTCTTGTGTTAAAGCTTTGTCGTCTAATGGCCATAGGTGTACTGGAGTACTTTGAGACAACGTTGTCATAACATCAGTTGTTATCTGGGTAGTAGGCGCGGGAATACCTTGTGTTGTGGGAGTTTCTGTGGATATTTGGGTGGTAGGAGCGTCTTGTGTCGTGACAGCTTCTGTTATGATCTGAGGAGGTGGACTGTGAGTCGGTGGATAATGGCAATCAGGGGTAACTGAAAAAATAGAGTCATTAGTTAACTTACCGGAATAAGGTAACTTACCTGAATTAAAAACTAGATGAATTTGACACGTAATTCGGGATTCGGCCATGAAACAGAGCGGCCTACCTTGCATCCCACCATTTCACCGCTACTTCCAACCGTTGGCATAAGTGAACGTCGCATGGCCGACTAGCACTAAGACGACCGTTTGTCAAGCGAGTAGGGTCTTGGCTAGTTTGTTGGCGTGTAAGGGACAGTCCTCTACCGGGATGCAAGTTAGGCTGGTCTGTTTTATTGCCAAATCCCGAATAACGTGCTGGCTCGTTATTAGTTATTCGTCATTCGTTATTCGAATGCCAAGTGACGTGCCAACTTCAAGTTGCTTGTGCGTGTGTGTGTGTGTGTGTGTGTGCAGTGCGATTCTCCCGCACTTCGGGTATGCTAATAAATACAATACTTTCCCCGCATTCATGGTGCCCCGCACAGGGTTCGGCGAATCCAATACATGTATTTTTGACAAGAAAGTAATAAAATTGGGCCCTACAAAAATGTCAAGAAGTTTGAATTACAGTGCTATTTTAGATATCGACAACATCAAATAAAGTTGGACTTATTTTTCTCCAAAGATCGCGAAATGAATTGCTATCTGTATGTTTCATTTGCTTTTACCTGTCAGTACAAGTATTTTCAAACATGCGAAATTTGGGCGTTAGATCACCAGGTCTGGTTTAATCACCGCTTGTACGCGACAAGGAGTAGGGTCGCCTGTCCAATCTCCGGGTTTCTCTCCGGGTCCTCCGGTTTCATCCCATAGCTAAAGTCCTCTAAGCGTAAGCGAATTATTGACATAAAACTGAACCATATGCTTGTCCCGAAATGACTTAGCTTGTGTCGAGTGGACGTTAAACCCCATTTAGATACCTCTCCCACTTCAACCATGAGTGTGTGACCGAATTACACTGAAAGTATATAAATGGGTTCAGTGTATTAGACCATTTCTTAATGAAGTAAACTACTCAAATAAAGAGAGAGCGATGGAAATGGGGTTTAACGTCCACCCACACAAACTAGGTCATTTCGGGACTAACATGTGGTTTAATTTTATTTCAACAATTCGCTTGTGCGTAGGGTCTTTAGCAGTGGGAGGAAACCGGATGACCCGGAGAAAACCCACGAGGTTGGACAAGCGACCCTACTCCTTGTGTAACACTACGGACTTCTTTATTTGTTGTGTTTCCTTGTGATCGTAAATAATACTACTGTAATAATAGTTTCACAGTTTTATTGGTAAACTGGAAATAACTTTGCAGGTTCCTCGTTCTCAAATATATAATGGCTTCTTGGAATGATCTGGTGAGAGTCTAGTTAAAACTCACTTCAACCCTTCAATTTATACGTATCTCATTTCAGCAGGTCTTTGGTACTTTTCCATTGAAAATACGTAATAAACTTGTTTATTTCCCACCACTAACAGAGATAGATATTAACTTATTTGGCCTAACAACCATAGGTCAATAAACAGCCAGAATTTGATGACTATTTTGACAATGATTTTAATTTGACCAAAATATCACTGTTTTTTACGAATAACTATACCCACGTTCATAATGTACGTGTGATTTGACTTCATAGACAAAATTGAAGAGACAATTTTATAAAGACCCAAAATTGTCTCAAGGGCCAAAGTGCTACACTTGTCACGTACAACCGGGATTTGGAACCACGCCAGTTGACTCAATGACAGGCCTTAGCACGTGCTAACCACTCGGCCATCCAACCACCCCATCCCCCTTACTCAAATAAAACATGATCAAAATATTGAAAAACATAATGACAGTAGTACATAGATTTCGAACTATATTGACGGAAGGGGGGTCACGATGGCTAAGTGGGTAAGACGCTGGCTCGCTAGCCTGGAGGTCGGGTGTTCGATCCCTGCATTGGCCGAGAAAGTTCATCCAGATTTTCCGGCGTGGTTTCCCCTTGTCAGTGATGCAGGACGGAGGGCCTGACAAGGACAGCTGTCTAGTCGTTCGGATGGGACGAAAAACCGAGGTCCTGTGTACACATTGGCGTGCACGTAAAAGATCCTTTGGCAGCTGGAAATTGATATAAGAGTAGGCCGTAGCGCCGCTGCTCGGGCAAAATTTCCCTCATAGCACACTGTATGGCGTATGCCCGTCTTCATTAGCCCAGTTTAGGAGCAGAACAACAGTAGGACGTTAAACCCCATTTCATTTCATTTCATTTCTATTGACGGAAACAAACCCTCATTGTTTTACTTGAATTTAAAATCATATGAGATAAAGTTAATAAAAGTCGTCTAGATTTCGAGTTTTAAGTCATGCATTATAAATTAATATATCCTTACTTGGTGGGCGTGATGCCCATTCTTCAGGATCTTCACAGTAGTCATTGGTTTCAGAAGTGGTTGGGAAATCCGCTGCCTTGTCAAACATAAGTACACACGTGACGCTGCCATGATACGGTTCTGTTGCGTCATTTCGTCGTCCAAAATACATGGTACCGCCCGTCTTGAATTGTCCACTTCCGGCATTTTGTGCCGAGGATCCACCAACGTTAAGATATGTCTTTGAATTTTCCTGTGAATATCCGAACTGCACTAGAGTCCATGAATCTATAGAAACTGGGCCATGTGATATGGAACTTAAACTTGTACCAGAGCTGTCCTTCAGCTCAAAATGCAATTTACCGTCGCTTTCCACACTAAGCATCACATCCGTGACGTCAGAAGCAGCTGTTGAATCTGCTTTATAGTATAATAAAGTTCCACGCAGTTCCTCTGGATATATGTATAGCGATATTCCAAACTCTGTTTCTGGAATAAAGCCTGATGGAATACTAAGCTCCACATAACTCGATGCTGACCAACCGTTAAAATGTAAAGCTCTAGTAGTAGTTGTGGATGTGAACTGCGGTCCGTTATGATACTCAAAACAATCCGTAGATGTTGGATAAATACCATCGTGCTTCTCTATCACCTCAAATCCCAATGACTTGTCACATAGAGGCCATGTAAATTTAGGACTGGGTCCACCATTGGTATTAGGAATTCCTGAAAATAAAGAAATGACCGATCAGCATCATCACCAAACTTTTAAATCGCAAATTGGCGTGGTTTCCTCTTGTCAATGGTGCAGAACGGAGGGTCTGACAAGGACAGCTGTCTAGTCCTTCGGATGAGACGAAAAACCGAAGTCCCGTGTATATATTGGAACGCACGTAAAAGATCCCCTGGCAGTTGGAATTCGATATAAGAGTAGGCGATAGTGCCGCTGTCCGGGCAAAATTTCCCTCATAGCACACTGTATGGCGTATGCCGATCTTCATTAGTCCAGTTTAGGAGCAGAACAGTAGGACGTTAAACCCCATTTCATTTTATTTCATTTAAATCGCAAATTGGTTAGTGAGCGGGAGCTAGCACACTCTGATTAAATACAGATTATTATACTTTCGATGGCCTCTACTACATGAAGATCTGACCGGTTGTAGTGGGAGGTCGTGTCAGGGGTCGTACGAGCGACTTTTGACCGGCATTTGACCCTATGACGTCAGACATTGATTAATCAACCAGCGTTGACGTTTCTAGTGGTTTACCGACAGTTCGGAACGGAACACGCCAAGAACTTGTCGTAACAGACCGTTGCATTGGCTAATCCCTCACTTCAACTAGAACGCCGGTAATATAACAACTCTTCCAGATCCTAGTGTAGTAAAGACAAGTAAAACGAAATTTTGAGCTATAAAAAAACGAAACGAAATAGTATCTGTGTTTAAATAATCAGACTGGATCTACCACCAACCAGTTAGGTTTTCTATTCTTGCTTTAGCCATGTCGTGGTTTACCCTTGTCTGTGGTGCTGGGCGGAAGGCCTGGTTCGGATGGGACGAAAAACGGAGGTTCCGTGTATATATTTGCGTGCACGTAAAAGATCACTTGGCAGTTGGATTTCGATATAAGAGTCGGTCATAGTGCCGCTGTTCGGGCAAAATTTCCCTCATAGCATAGTGTATGACGTATGCCCGTCATCAATAGCCCAGTCTGAGCAGATAAATAGGACGTTAAACCCCATTTCATTTCATTTTCTAGCCAAGTGTTAGTTCTTTCCTGGGGTTGTACGTCCACTTACACCTAGGGTGATATCGCAGACAGGTAGTCATGTGTCGAATCTCTGTGTCTTTTATCCTTGTACCAAGCTGTATGTGTGTGTGTGGTGGTGGGGTGTGCTTTAGTGATTTAAAGCGTGTGCGTGAAATCATAAGGTCTATCATTGAGTCAAGTGGCTTGGTTTCGTTTCCCAGCTGGTACGGGACAGGGAGTAGCGTAGCATGTCGAATCTCGTGGGCATTCCCCCACTCCTAAATACCTCGACGCGCATGTGATGTATTGACATAAAATTGAACCATATGTTAGTCCCGAAATGACATAGTTTTCTGACAACCAAGTAACGAATATAGTTGACTACTAATTTAAACGAACATGACAATATATTCTGTGATGACTCGTCAGTTTATCTGTTAGTTCATGTGATGTTTTAAACCAAGGTACGACAGAACAAGTGTTTGATATGTGAAATATATATATATGTGTGTGTGGTGGTGGGGTGTGCTTTAGTGATTTAAAGCGTGTGCGTGAAATCATAAGGTCTATCATTGAGTCAAGTGGCTTGGTTTCGTTTCCCAGCTGGTACGGGACAGGGAGTAGCGTAGCATGTCGAATCTCGTGGGCATTCCCCCACTCCTAAATACCTCGACGCGCATGTGATGTATTGACATAAAATTGAACCATATGTTAGTCCCGAAATGACATAGTTTTCTGACAACCAAGTAACGAATATAGTTGACTACTAATTTAAACGAACATGACAATATATTCTGTGATGACTCGTCAGTTTATCTGTTAGTTCATGTGATGTTTTAAACCAAGGTACGACAGAACAAGTGTTTGATATGTGAAATATATATATATATAGAGAGAGAAATGGGGTTTAACGTCCACTCGACACAAACTAGGTCATTTCGAGACTAACATATGGTTTAATTTTATTTCAATAATTCGCTTGCGCGTAGGGGTCTTTAGCAGTGGGAGGAAACCGGAGGACCCGGAGAAAACCCACGAGGTTGGACAGGCGATCCTACTCCTTGTCACGTACAACCGGGGATTGATATGTGAAATATATCCAGAGATGCAGAAAACAGGGATTTATTTGGTCTTTAAATATAAAATAAATATCGTCTATTTCTATAGAACAAAGTGGGAGTCAATAATATGATCTGCACTAAAAATAAAACTTTAGTATTTATCAGATGAAGCAATAACAGCAATTAATTAACCAGATGAAAGATGTGATATATAGATAACAATAAAAAAAACATTTGACGGATAAATCAACAAGATGGGAGTGTTTGGCAACATCATAAAGTAACGAAAGGGGTGTGTGTGTGTGGGGGGGGGGGAGACAACAGCAACCATACACTAATTAGGGATTAAGTAAATCTACCCATAGATTTGGGAGAAAATTTCCTGAATATCTGTTTAATTTGGGCTTATGTTTCTGGATTACTAGGGCTTCTCGGAGAATTCTGTTTTTCCACACTGTTAGGTTCCCAATCTGATTAAAATACAGATCTATATTTCGTTTCGTTTTTGTTTTAGTACTCGAAGGTAGTGTCAGGGGTCGTACGAGCGGCATTTGACCTATGGCGTCAGATATTGATTAATCAATCAGCGTTGGCGTTTCTAGCGGTTTACCCACAGTTCCGTACATGGCACACCAAGGTATCGCCGTAACAGACCGTTTCATTGGCCATTTCCTCACATTATCTAGAACGACTATGTTATATAACAACTCTTCCAGATCCTAATGTAGTAAAAACGAGTAAAACGAGATTTTGAACTATAAAAAAAACGAAACAAAATAGGATCTGTGTTTTAATCAGATTGTTAGGTTCCTGGCTAGAACTTCCGCCTTTTCCCATTTGATTTTATGCTGTGGGTTGTTGTAAATATGATCTGCACTGTTTTCCTAGAAATCAATGAATCTAAAAGCTGTTACAAAAATTATCTTCATTGGTATGCTTTTAGGTTTTGTCTGATTATTAATGTGAATTCCGTGTTATTGATGACCTTCTCGTGAATATAAATTACAGCAGCATGATTTACAAGCTTATTAAAATGCAGATCTATATTTCGTTTCGGTTTTTTATACTTTCGATGGCCTACACTACATGAAGATCTAACAAGTTATAGCCATAGGTCACGTCAGGGGTCAAAAGACCGACTTGTGACCCTATGATGTCAGACATTTGATTAACCAATCAGCATTGATGTTACTAGTGGATTACCCACAGTTCCGCGTAAAACACGCCTAAAGCTCGACGTGACAGACCGTTTCATTGGCTTATCCCTGACACCATTCAGAACACGAGTTAAATAACAACTCTTCCAGATCCAAGTGTAGTAAAGACAAGTAAAACGAAGTTTTGAACTATAAAAAACGAAACGAAATAGGATCTGTGTTTTAACCAGATTGCATGATTTAAAAATTCCTACTTGTACTCCCTTGTATAAATAGTGAAAACATTCGTGTAACTCGTCCGTTTTATAATCATATAACCCTAGAGAGAGATGGGGTTTAACGGCCACTCGACATAAAGTAGCCCATATCAAAACTCAGATGTAATTTAATTTTATTTCAATAATTTGCTTGAGCGTAGCTTAGGCTTCGTGTTCGTTAGCACTGGGGATAAACGGGTGGGGGGGGGGGGGCTTGTTGAATACCTAAGGGTGGGTGGGGTGTGTGGGTGTTAACACGAGACTCAATTACGTACCTTGTGATCCAAAGCGCATGTGTTAAACCAATCGGCACACGTCGGCCAATCCTTCCCATCCATATAAAGCAAATCATGCCTCACTATGGTTAGTGCTAAATGATAAGGCCAGCTCAATTTTTCGTCATATTTCCAGTGATGTAAACAGGGCTAGCGCTAATCCAAACCCTAACCCTAACCCTAACACTGGACGTAGCCCCAATGCTTACCCTAACCTACAATCTCACCAACAAACACGTGCCCTAACCGTATTTACATCTCAGCGAAATTGAGTTGGCCTTATAGGGGGGTTGGATGGCTGAATGGTTAGCGTGCGCGCGCTGTATCATACAGTCTGTCATTGAGTCGACTGGCGTGGTTTCGAATCCCCGGTTGTACGTGATAAGGAGTAGGGTCGCCTGCCCAACCTCGTGGGTTTTCTCCGGGTCCTCCGGTTTCCTCCCACTGCTAAAGACCCCTACGCGCAAGCGAATTATTGAAATAAATTTAAAAACCATATGTTAGTCCCGAAATGACCTAGTTTGTGTCGAGCGGACGTTAAACCCCATTTCTCTCTCTCTCTTAACCAATAGATTTATCCCCCACCCCCAAGTATATCCTACATTTTCGTCAGATCTGAAATTAGTTTGCAGCCAACGACGTTATCGAGAAAGGGTTGTCACGCTCGGATGAATTAGCGTTTGTTTACAATTCTACGACATTATCGAGAAGGGATGGTTACGCTCCGATGAATTGTGTAATCCAATCCAATGATATAAAATATCGATTCCTTTATTTTGAGAATCAATTAATTTCAAGTTTCCTTTTTCCTGTTTTCTAATTCAGGACAAACAAATAACGAATAATTTCAAAAGATTTTTTGGGGAAAAAAATTGTAATTACTGTGACAGTATTGGTTCTTAAATCGGGTTCTTTGATGACAACACTGGTATAACTTCAAACAATGGTTTTATTTCTTCTTTTTCACATATACAACAGTTCTACTACATTACTTATATAGACCGGGTTTTTCGTCTGGTTGCCGTCTTGTTCCCAGCTCGGCTCTCTGGCCTCGACTCTTCTAAAACGGTTTGTCTGATCTTTTAATTACTGGGCCGAATCTATGTCCAGCCTTGCAGTCTCGATACCACACCCATGTACCGTAACCTGATTGGTCAGTATCCGGTCGGGGTGGGTTAATAACCTGGACGGACATATAGTTATTGGCCAATCAACTAATTCCAG